CTGATTTAATTCGTGGTATATACACTGCGCTCTTGTATGGACATTTGAACATCGCGTAGTAGTGTGAATATTGCATTGTTGTCTTAGAAGCGTTGTTGGTTAGGATTACTGAATAAATCATATTGGGGATCTTTATCTTTTATTTCCAATATTAATTGGTAAGTTATTGATATTGTGAGTTACTTATGGATTAAATTTACCTGGCGCCCATTAAGATCTATTTGAAATTTGCTAAGTTGTTCAACCCACTCCCGTAGCTTAGCCGCGGATACCCATCTGTCTTATTTGTTACCGACAGATGATTTAGTCTCCTCTTGTGGTTTGTGAGGTGACAATTGAATCCTCTGACATAAAATGAATCTAATGGAACATACTGAGATGAATAATAGTTTTAGATATTTCTTAATGATGCTAATTTAGTCAGCAAAACGAGGGCTTTGAAGAATATGTATTTGTATTGTTGTCCAACATCAAAAATAACATAATGTTATTGATTGTCTGACTGTTCCTTCCTCATTTCAGATTGTTCAAGAAGCTTTGGATAACGCTAGAAAAGGTCGTACCTGTATAACCATCGCTCACAGATTAACAACCATTCAAGATGCCGATGTTATTTGTGTACTCAAAGAGGGATTCGTTGCAGAAATGGGAAATCATAAGGAACTTCTAGAAAAACGCGGACTGTATTATAAATTCTATAAATTACAAAGTGGCCAAATGTAAAATAAAATGAATGTCTTTCATTTCTGATCTGGAGACTTATTGCAGATACAGTTGTCACTTTACTGAATTGAAAATAAAGTTTCAATGGATGGAGTTGAATTCAATTCCTGAGAAAAATAAATAATGATGAAGTCAGATCATGGTCACACATTTTTTGATCAAACCTCGTGCAGAGGTGCACAATAGCTCTCAACCTACACTCTCCTTCCCCGCCACATGCCAGCAAAAAATAGAATCTCAACCCGAAACATCAAAGAGGCCGACGGAAGTGAATTTACTTGTGTTCACTTCTATACGGTGCTTCTGTCTTCTCTGCGTTTCAAAAAGCCAGGAAGAAATCACAGATTCTTCGTTCCTTCCGTTCCTCAAACCGTTTTATTTAACAGTCGCCCGCGTGCGACGGTGGTCGCCAGAAAAACCCATTTTGCTGAATAGACAAAACTCACGATTTCAATGCTGGGATATTGATATGCCCATATTTACATCCTCAGCTACGTGACAAATATATCTGATGGTGCATCTTTTCAAAACACGCCGTTGAATAGTGTTTATATAAACACTCTCGCTCCCTCGGCCATAATTTTACATTGTATCAGAGATAGATTCTGAATTAAAGAAATATGTCTCTTCCCGAAGTTAAAATGTATATTAACATACATAGCTTCCGCTAGGTCTAGATATCACAGTTTTATCCATTTTCATAAAAACGCTCACATCATCTGACTCAAACGACTGTTACATAACAACTGCGCGTCCAAAACATCGAAAACTTTGGTGAGTAACTGTAAACAGATGAACAACGAAAGTCACTAGCTTTCATTTACGAGTGTTGTCATCTTCCTGTTGATGTCGGAAACTTTCCAGACTACCCTTGTAGTGGTCATACAGCTCTTCAATACCATGTTTATAGTACGATTCGTTTTTAGCCTCAACATAGGTCTCAGTTTTGACGATTACCCCGTCATTGGAGTTGAATTTCTTTCCAGCGAGCATTCTTTCGAGGTCTGACAGAAAAAAGTCACTGGGAGCCAGATCTGGGGAATACGGTGAATGCGGAAGCAATTCGTAGCGTTGGGTGTGATTCAGGAATAATTTCACCTAGAAGTCAATTTCATGGCTGTCTCCATTATCGCTGTTGTAAAATTCTGTTTTTGCGACCTTGATTCAAAATTCTTTGTAGGAAATGATAATAAAGAACTATTTCGTTTCTGAAGAGAAGTTTCATTTTAAGATACCCAATAAAGCATTTTGTTTTTCTAGCTTCGATCTATAGCAGAATTTTAACAAAAACAATTGGTAGCGGTGATTTACGTGGCGTGAACGTAACGAATACAGATACAGCGATCTATTTGAAAAGCAAAGAATGAAGGTTGTAGTGGAAATTTTGCATGATATCTACCTCTACTTCCCAGAATATTCATTAGATTTCGTTATTACCTATCCAAATGATTATATGGTTTATTACATATTCATGAGAACTCGTGGCAATTCTATATTCCACAAATTATTGATACAGAAATAGGAGTGACTTACGAATAGTGTATCAGTCACTTCAAATAGACCCAGACACTAAGAAAAGAAATAAGGTATGTATATATATCATATGTAACTCAATATTCCTAAGTGTGTTTACTTCAAATGAACTGTATGAAATTAATTATGAGTGAAATAAAGTAATGTGGTCAATTTAGGTGTTCAGCACATAGAATGCGTTGTATGCATCAGTGATGTCATCAGAAATTTTAATTTAGAAAATCGTTGAATTTGTGGAATTTCTTGATACTTTCGATTTAGAACGAGCTCAATGACAAAATTTCTACAAATGAAATTGCAATATGAACATGAAGCCCATTAAGTATAGTGTAAAAATTTGAACATAGAATGTTGGACATCTCATCATCGAATCTTTGTTGAACAGTCTAAAACTCTACCTCAAATGCAATCGGGGTTCAGACCTGGTTACAGTTGTATGAGTGCACTTACAAATATAACGAATGATATTGTCAAAGGTATTGATGAAAATAAAGCAACTGTACTCATCCTTCTGGACTTTTCGAAAGCATTTGCTTTGATAAACCACAGAATTCTCCTATCTAAACTTCACTTTTTAAAGTTTGACCAAAATGCTTGCAAACTTATTACTTCATATTCATCAAATAAACTTCAACATGTTACTTCGAATGATAAAACCTATAATTTTGCTCATGTATCATGCGGTGTTTCCCAGGGTAGTATTTTGAGTCCACTTCTGTTCACCTTATTTACTGCAATATTTCATGACGCTCTGCAGTACTGTAACAACCACATGTATGCTGATGACACACAGATATATAAAACCTTCAAACCAGATTATGTCATGCAAACTAACAGAGAAATGTATAATGACTTACAATATTCAAAAGACATATGTGGTGAAAATCTACTCAAAATGAATCCTCAAAAGTCATGTGCTATTTTGTTCTGTAATGACAATGTCAGGAATGATATATCTTATCTTATACTGAGGATGGGAAATGACACAATACCTTTTAGTGAGAGTGCAAAGAACTTAGGTTTGATACTAGATCAAAAATTGAGATTCAAAGAACAGGTTAATATCATGTTGAGAAGAAGTTACACTAGCTTTAAGATTATTTACCCTCATAGACACTATTCAGGCCAAGATGTAAAAAATGCTGTGTTTTCAAAAGCAAACTAAACTTCTCTGAAAAGGTGAAATACGGTACTATCCTCGACAGAAAGCTAACATGGAACTCTCACCTACAGAGTAGAGCATATTTGGCATATGACAGTGGGACGTGCATGGGGTCTTTCACCCCGTGTGGTCACCTGGGTCAACATTGCAATAATGAGAACTATGTTAACGTGCGGAGCTATTGCATGGGAACCGAAAGTTCTACAATCAACGGCCATCCAAAAATTATATCAAATAAAGCTACTGGCTTGTTTGAACATCACAGGAGCCATGAGAACAACACGAACCGCAGCAATAGAATTAATTACGGGTTTGACCCCTCTGGACCAGTACGTTAAGAAGGTTGCGTTAATGGCCATGTTACGATTGCGCACGGCTGGGATAAACCTCGAAGTAGGAATGAGTCAATTGAGGCTGATCCTATGGCGAGAAGCGCTTACTGCGCAACCTTTGCTGCAGGCAACCAGTGATGTAATTGAACCCAGGTTTGTGTTTAATAAACCCAACAAAATACAAATAAAGCAGAACACAAATGCTACAAATGCAGGGGGTTTTGAACCCCCTGTATACAGGGGGTTCAAAAACCAAACAAGGCTCAGGATGTGGAGTTTACTCCAGATTACTAAGCCTAAAGATTAAGTGTAGAATGGGAAAAAATACCAGCGTGGTCCAAACAGAACTGGCTGGTATCTCAATCGCCACAAAAGAAATAACCACGAAAAGAATTTCTGGCAAAAACATAACAATCCGCACTGACAGCAGACAAGCCCTATTAACTTCTAACATACAACGTGTTACCTCAGGGCTAGTACTAGAGTCTCTCTTCTCTCTCTCAACTTAGCGGGAAATGACAGTTTGGCGGGAGTTGGTCGTTTTTCGCTTGATTAGAGGTTTCCATATGTTACGTATCTCTACGCTAGCTTGACTAAATGCGTTATTGGACAATATATACACGGCTTCCTTGAATTTTCTCCTAAACCAGTGTTTCTCTTTGTGGATTATTTCAGCTTGAGCCCACTTGATGTTATGTTGATGAGTCCAAACATGCTCTGCTATTCCAGATTTGCTGGTTACTCCTCGCTGTGTGTGTTTCTTCTGCTCAGCAATGCGAATTTTCAATGGCCTCTTAGTTTCACCGATATATGATTTTCCGCACTCGCAAGGTATCCGGTAAATTTAATTCTTGGAATCGCAGTCTGCGTTTGGTGGCCTGTTTTTCGTGAAGCTGCTACGGATAGTGTTCCCAGATCTAAAGCAGGTCCTGATGTTTTATTTGGACCCAATCCTTCTTATCCTTTCCGATAATTCTCTGATGTAGGGAAGTACAAGTAGCTAAGGCCTGTTCTACCATCACTCTGGAGTAACCATTCCGTATCAGATCATTTTTGATGATGCTTAGTTCCTTTTCGAGACCTTCCTCTGTATTACAGAGCCCAAAAGCATGGTCTATTAGGTATTGATGGTGGATGTTTTCCATTTAGTGTCGGTCCTCTTCACCAATACGTCTAAGAAAGGCAATTCGTTGTGGATTTCCTTCTCCATTGTGAAAGTAATAGAAGGACTCACGTTGTTGATGTGCTTCAGGAAAGTGTCTAATTCTGCATTCCCATGGTTCCATAGTATGAAGGTGTCGTCTACGTATCTCATCCAGACTCGAGGCTTCTTGTGGGCTTCTTCAATGGCCAGAGTTTCAAACCACTCGATATATATTGGATATAACAGATGAAAGTGGCGATCCCATTGGCAGTTCCTCATCTTGCGTAAAGAATTCGTCCTTCAGTTGGAAGTAGCAGTTTCGTACACAGCATCCTAGTAATTCCATGATTACTTGAATCGGTGAGTTTGTTCTATCTTTCAGGTCCACATCTTCAGGTAGCTTCTTCTGTATGATTTGAAGTGCTTCGTCGACAGGAACGTTGGTGTAGAGGCTTTCCACGTCGGAACTGATCAGTTGATCCTGCTCTTTGACTTCAATTTCCCCTATTAGTTCGACGAAATGCCTTGAATTTTTCACAAAGGATGATGTTTTATCTTGCAGTGGTTTGATTATTGGTAGTAAAAATTTGGACAAGTTCTGAGTGGCTGAATCTCTGGAGCTAATGGTCGGTCTGAGCGGAACATCCTTTTTGTGGATTTTGGGTAGTCCATACAAGTGAGGGGGCTCACTGTGGTGCGGTGTTAGCGATGATCTCTCTTTTTCCGTAAAATAGACTTAGTGTTTTTTCAAAGTCTGGTTACAACTTCCTTTCAATTGTTCGTAGATATCAGTGTCCATTTCAACAGTAGCGTTTCCCTTATCTGCAGGTAAGATCTTGATGGTGTTGTCTGAACGTAACCCGTTAGGGCTCTTCCTTCTTCATTGCTGACTCACCCACCCTACTCTACAGATACAGATATTGATCGTGGGAATTTTTCAGATTGTTTCCCTGTATTTTTATATGCACACAAAAACGTCGGATTGATATGACACGTATTTTGTATAATTACTCAGAGTAATCAACAACACGAAACAATCAATGATAAAGTGCATTTTTTGGTGAACAGACGAAACAGCTGTTTCCATTATCGTATATTCAACAGAATTTGTGAGTACATTTGAAACGAAGTAAAATATTTCATTCACATTTTTCCACTATTCTCAGACCTTCTTCAGGCCATTAACTGTTTGTCTTCTTCCTTGTTAGTCGATCGTGATTATCATAACTTTTCTTTTTCAAAAAATAAATCATTCAGTGAAAAATATTATTGTTGTTGTTTTTATGTCCATCTGGCATCAGCAAAATAATCAGACTAAAAAAACGCAGCAACAATTTTAACAGTCACTTACACGAATAATTTTCAATTTCACGTTTCCCTACTACTTCATTCAAAATATTCTGTCGATTAAGATGAAATAAAAGTATAAATTGAAACAAAATCTGAATAGAATAAAAATAACGAAAATGGTCATTAATAAATAAATCCGTATGATTGGTCGAAGAAAATTAAATATTTACTGAGATATGAAGCTACAAATACACATGACATCGAAACGGACAAAACTTTCTGAACAACCTATTAGATACTTCACATAGGAGAGTCCAATATCTTCTGTTCTATTAACATTATAATCAATTTCGCATACGTTAAGTCTACTTTGAATTGTTTAACTTTCTATAGAAAACCAAAGTTCCTTTTCTTTTTTAGAATGAAGTACCGACCAGTATTAGGAAAAAATGTTCCATTCCATAGATTGGTAAGTTTATATTACAAAAGGAATTTGAAGTTTCTGCACAATATTGATTGAAACTAATTTTAACCAAAATAATATCCATTTGTATTAGTAGAAGGTCTGTTATGTAGTGGAATAATGCATTTATTGTTTAACGTATTTCAAAAACACTTCATTGTGTGATTTTCACTAGACAGTTTTACAAAAACGCAACACGTGTTTCGCCATACAATGGCTTCCTCCGGCGTGTCTTAATGCTTTTGCTTGATTCTTAATGCATTAAGACACGCCCAGGAAGCCATTCATGGCGAAACACGTGTTGCGCTTTTTTAAAACTGTCTAGTGAAAACACACAATAAAATGTTTTTAAAATACGTTAGTTATGGATTTTCGGCCTATTCCATCATATAATTTATTGTTTGATGGTGATGAAATGAGTCATAGCATACATGAGAAAAAAATCTTCACCAAATCTAAGAGAGTTTTTACTTTGATATTACCGATGACAATATTCAAAAGTGAATCATTTTGGGCTTATAATATAAACTTAGCAAAGCAAATTGGAAAGTTGCGTGAAATGACTTCTGATGAATCTAACAAGTAACTGACAACATATACAGGGCTATTCAAATTCGTTTCTGTACATGGGGATCTCGTAAAAGATAAGAGATAGAGTGTCGGTGAAATTATGGCGAAGTTGCGTATTTTAGAGACCTATTCAATGATGTGAAGAAATTGAATATTGCCATTTTGTTTCTGGAGATATACAGGAAAAACAAAAAAATCCCAACATATACAGGGCTATTCAAATTCGTTTCTGTACATGGGGATATCGTTAACGATAAGAGATAGAGTGTCGGTGAAATTATGGCGAAGTTGCGTATTTTAGAGACCTATTCAATGATGTGAAGAAATTTAATATTGCCATTTTGTTTCTGGAGATATACAGGAAAAACCAAAAAATTCCAAATTATTTTTTGCCTATATCTTCTTTATTCGCAGACTTATTGAAAATCTATGAAAAATTGACTTCGAATATTCGATTATAATTCTGTAAATTATTCCCTTTTAAATTACGGCCCTGGAAATTGGTTGACTGAGTTGAATAAAAACACAATAGCAACTTTCACGTCTCCCTATGTATCGTAGAGTTTATCGAGAGTTTTTTTTCATTTTTAGGTACCTATTCATATTATTTCCATTGTTCTGATAAACTGAGGCAGGTTTTATTGGAAAAGACTGTACATAAAGACATTAGTTGGTATGATACTCATCAAACTGGTGATTTTGCTACTGTATTCACTGAAAAAATATATTTCAAAACTTGAGATATTTCAAATCGTCTCTTAATTTTTTTTTTGAGTTCATTCGAAATTTACACAATTCAAAGTGAGTTTTCCATTCCCAATATAATCAAGACTCATAAAGCATCTGAACAGTTACAATCGATATTGATGCAAAAAACTCTACAATTGAAATATGAGTCGACGCCGATTAATAAATTTTGGAAATAAGTACTAGAATCGAAGTAATCTAAAGATAAAAAGGCTAATTATCGAATTATTTTGGTGATCAAAACAACGTACTCATGTGAATCATTTTATTTGATTTTGAAATTCGTGAAACTCAAACACAAAGATCAGTAATAATTAACCAGCATTATTCATATGTTTCCAATGAATATAGTTTCTGTATTGCATACCTCTTAACTAGGTATTTAATTGCGGCTCACAAAAAATTTAAAATTTTCGAAAATGGCTCGAACTCTCAAGAAGGTTGGCCTACTCCTGATCTATGATCTGCTTCAGTGAAGATCTATACTTTAATGTCATAGTTTGCGTTGACCAGTGTAATCAATTATATTCGATGAATACCAAGAAAAAAGACTTGGGGAGCTCTCCAGGCCACAAACAACGAAGTATCCTTGATTTTGCAATTCAGTGATTTTTTTAAGTACAGGAAAGTTTTTTTTTCCAGTTCAGATTTGCAACATCACTCGATATACTTTGTATGCTGATAGGTTCTATCTTTTCGTTGGTATCTGCTCTCTTCGAACCATATTTGATCATACTTTATGGTGACTTGACGGAAAATATACTGGAATATATCAGATCGAATAATGGCACCTCAACAGAGAAAGAGCTCGTGGAGAGAAAATTAACGGAAGCAACTAAACACTTTGCTATAAATATCTCAGCTAGTGGTGCTGGAATAATAATTTCCACGTATTTAACATCTATTTTATTCAGTTATGCTGCCGATCGACAAGTAAGTGGAGTTTTCAGCTCTCAGTTTTTATTTTAGTATGTTCAAAGTTTCAATTTCGTATCTAACATCTATTTTAACATCCATTTTATTCAGTTATACTGCTGATCGACAAATAAGTGAAGTTTCCAGCTCTCAGTTTCTACTTTAATATGTTCCGAATTTCAATTTGGAATTTAACATCTATTTTATTAAGTTATGCTGCTGATCGACAAGTAAGTGAAGTTTTCAGCTCTCAGTTTTCACTTTTATATGTTCAAAGTTTCAATTTGGAATCTAATATATATTTTAACATCTATTTTATTAAGTTATGCTGCTGATCGACAAGTAAGTGAAGTTTCCAGCTCTCAGTTTCCACTTTGATATGTTCCATGTTTCAATTTGGAATCTAACATCTATTTTAACATTTATTTTTTATATTATGCTGCTGATCGACAAGTAAGTGAAGTTTCCAGCTCTTAGTTTCTACTTTAATATGTTCAAAGTTTCAATTCGGAATCTAATATATATTTTAACATTTATTTTATTGAGTTACGCTGCTGATCGATAAGTAAGTGAAGTTTTCAGCTCTCAGTTTCCACTTTAAAATGTTCAAAGTTTCGATTTGAAATCTAACATCTATTTCAACATTTATTTTATTAAGTATTGCTGCTGATCGACGAGTCACTGAAGTTTTCAGCTCTCAGTTTCTGCTTATATGTTCAAAGTTTCAATTTTAAAACTAACATCTATTTTAACATCCATTTTATTCAGTTGAGCTGCTGATCGACATGCAAGTTGAATTTTAAGCTTTCAGTTTCTACTTCATTATGTTCAAAGTTTCAATTTGGAATTCAACATTTGGACTGAAAAGTTCACAGGCTCACACGAAAAAAATAATTTTGATGAAATTTGATTGTATGATTCAATAGAGTTGCCTCCGAAGGCAATTGTAGCGGTCATACAATTACTCGATATCATTTTTATAGTACAATTTGTCTTTAGCCTTAAAATAAGCCTCAGTTTCGACTATTACTTCTTCATCAGCTCTAAGTTTTTTTTAGAACAGAAAAAAGTTTTTGGGAGTCAGGTCTGGAGAATATGGTGGATGCGAAAGCAATTCGAAGCCCAATGTCACGTACCAAAATCACAAAACAAAAAAATTATCGTTCTCCCCTAACTATTAAATAATAATTTCTAATGGACGCCCAAGAGGCATACGCAGAAAATTGCATGGTAGCTAATTTGGGTATAGTTCCCAGAGGGAACACACAGATTAGTTATGACTGCAAACCTCAGAAAACCTTTGGTTCGTTTATTATTTTGTGTATCCTTGAATTTCAAAAAAAAGGCACAGACAGATTTGATATAAAAAAATCAACAATATCATATTACCTAAATAACTGAAGTTGTATTAAGCGTTATTACCCCTACAGCACTCAATTTTCTTTCAAATGGGGCCGTTTTTCCGCGATTTTGTTCTTCACAAACACCACAGAAGGTTATGTAATAGCTGCTGCCAATAGTTTTTCCCTTTTCAAGATATTTGATGGATATTATAACATGCGCGTTTCGAAATACCGATACCACAGCCTTGCCGGCAGGCGTCTTTGCACGCCTTGGAGTCGGTTTGCCACGTGTAGACCACTCAAATTACGATCGTTTTGAATCAGGAGTAAAATGATAGGGCCTTGTTCTATACATTATCACATATCGCATATCACATAAATTCTAGTTTTTAAGGAGGAAGAGCACTGCTCAGAATCAGAATCAACTTCACTTTGCGGTCATCCTTGATTATTTTGTGGACTTTTTTGATGATTTCGTCGGTAACAGCTTCTTTGGGGCGTCTACTCCGTGCATTGCCCATTGTGCGGACTTACCTCGTTTAAACTCAGCAAACCAGTTTCCAACGATGGTTTTTTCTTGGTGAAAAGTCCGAATAATGTTTATCAAGTCAAGCCTTTGCTTCAACAGTACGTTTATTCGTCAATAAGAATTTCTTCATCAATACATGAAATTCCTCTTCATTGAGTTTCTTCAAACTAATAAAATTTGTTTCACTCAAAATGTTCAAAATCATACAAACCAATGATCAGACAGCTGTGAAATTTGAACACGGGTGTATATGGTTTCAATACCAGCGGCGCCATCTGTGTGTTAGCTTCCGAACTTCTGGTGTTCAGCAACGTTTCATTTCAATGAAACTTTTCCCAGCTCCTTAGCAGATAACCACTTTTTTATCCAATGTAGGCACTTTTAAAAATTGATTTATTTGTTTTTCAGATATTCAAACTGAGGCAGGTTTTATTGGAAAAGACTGTACATAAAGACATTAGTTGGTATGATACTCATCAAACTGGTGATTTTGCTACTGTATTCACTGAGTAAGTAACTGACAAATGTTTTTCCCATCATAAGCTGCGGTGCGTTAAATTCATCATCACCAAAATGTTGCCTTTGCTGTCGTAGTAACATGATGAAGACTGAAATATTGGAACTTGAATGACACCCAATAGTGTAATCCATCCATCTGGCAGAATTGTGAAATTTGACATCCTCAAATATTCTCTATTTATAAAAAACCTGCGACCTGGGTTCTGGTATCTGGTATCTGTGAGTGTAGACTCACAGCACTTAGGCCACATGTGACCCGACCTGGTCATCGTCCATCCTGTCCTTCACAGGAAGGTAAACTGGTCAGTAGGAGACATCTCCTTTATATTGGCAGGTGAAGGCCAAGACTCGTCGAACACATACTCTCTTTGGCAACCTTGAGGTGTCTCACGGTGGCCTACTCCAAGGTTTTGGAAGGTGCAGCGATATTAATGTCGTTGCGCGGCTTCTTCAACCTTCTTGGGGTTTCCTCCGTGGAGTTGCACAAGTGAGGGAGCTTTCCTGCAGGGGCAGCCGGTCCCCTGCCTTTATTCAAGGTGGAGCTCTTGGCGCCCGCAGCAGGATGTGCCTTGCTGGTGGAGGTGATCTGCTATGTTCAGCCTCATTCCAAGCGGTAGATTGGGGTGGACATTTCTGTTCATCCCCAGCCACCCAGCAAGTAAAGAGTTGGTCACCTATGGCAGAGTCTCGCATTACTAGAGGTTGACTGATCGCAATGAGGTTTCGCCCAGTTCCTCAAGGGGATCGTTCGTGACCGCATATCACCCTGCGGCCTATCAGCTTCGGCACGATTCCTTACCCCTCAGCTTGGGTAGGCTGGTCCACGGTGGCATGTTTTGCAAAGGCTTTTGAAGGGTATTTGTTCTCCTCAACCTACTTACTCCTGCCAGTGACCAAAAGTCCAGCGACCCCATCCGTAATACTACAATGGCTTCCCGGACAGGGCCTCCAGTTCCCTGGCCGTTCCCCTATCCGCGACCTGGGGACGCGCCCAATAGGTAGCCCAACACACGGGTGCGACCTGAGTAACCTCAGCATCAAATACTACTGAGACAAAACTTCTAGACCTGCTTTATGCTGTCAGCATAATTCCTGCTCTTCCTCAACAGGTCATTGAGGCACAATAGGAACTTTCTGATAAGCGTTATCAAAATTGAACCATTCGATTGTATAAGTGTTAGAATTGCGAACAATGTGAAGTTTCCAAAGCGGTTACAGTTACTAGCTGGAAAAATTTGGAAATATTGCAACTGGCAAGTATTGTACGTGTACTGTTCAAACTATGAGGTGAATGTTCAAATTTATTGGGCTACAAATATTGAATTAGCGATTGTTTCATTTTTTTATGATGATACACTCATCCTGAACAAACGTTCATAGTTTCAGCTGTTCAGTATATTTTTTTTGATGGTGAGAGGCATAAAAGTTGGAAATGTTTATTTCCAAGAATAAAACACAAACACTGAGTTGAACCTCAAAATGATGAGCAGTCACTTGAACACTTCCCATGAAATTATCTATGGAAGAGAGAAAATTTTCCAACCTTTCTTCGATGTTGAACACTATCAGGGTTGCAAGTAATGTTCGTGGTTTCAATCAGGCGGATGGGTCCATTCTGAATGGAATTCAGCAGCTTCATGGTATGCCTGGGTGCCGAGCTCCATACATGAGAACAATACTCCAAAGAGGTCTGATCTGAGCTTCATAGAACATCAAAAGGTGCTGAGGAGTCTACAGTTTTCTGATTTGAAACAGTGTTCCAAGCTTTTGAGAAGCAGCTTTTGCAATTCCAGTGACATAATTATGCCAAGACATATTGATGTCCATTTTAACCCTCCAACAAAGATATCGGAGCAGAAAGCGAAATTGTTTGTCGTGACATTATTATGTCCAGTTTGCAAACATTTATGTTTTTGAAGAAAACTGATGCCTGGGTTTTTGTGGCATTGAATTGAACCTAAATATTTTCACTTCCATTCGAAATCGCTTCTAGATCCTCATTAAGATATGCAACCTCCTGCTGCCGGTGAAGATATGCATCTGCAGCCTATGTCCTGAATTCCAAATGGAATGACGAGACAAGTGTGCTGTCGTCAGCAAAGCAATATTGGATTATTGTTTTCCACCAGTAAGTCGTTGATATACGTGTTTGGCGATTTTCTGGTAACAAAAATAATGTCCATCAATTTTTTTTTGAAAAATGGAATTGGGCGCTCAAAAATACTTGAGATGTTGACAGTGACATATGGTGATTGTACTCTGTACAAATGGTACAAGCTTATGGAAAATCGTGTCGGATTACTATTAGAGTAGTTGCTGAAGATGTTGGAATATCGGTTGGCCCATCCATGCAAGTGAATCTTGACCAAAAAACCATCGCATAAGCATCCCTCAGGAGTTATTGAATGAAGTCAACAACTATCCACATTTGCTTGAAAGGGTCATGACTGGTGACGAATCATGGATATATGGTTATGACATCGGAACCAATGTCCAATCGTCCCAATGGAAAAGCCCAGGAGACCCAAGATCAAAAAAAGCGGACCTAGTTCGATCAAATGTCAAGGTTTTGCTCACTGTTCTCTTCGATTTCCGTGGCGTAATGCAACAAGAATTCTTGTCACATGACACTGAAACGGGAAAACTTTTAAAACCAGTGAAGAGAAGCAGATGCTTCCTCGTAACTTTTTTTGAACCATGGTTTGTCCTGAAATACGCATCAATAAAAATCAAATATATGCATGCATTCTTGAGAAGTATAGTCTCAATTACTTCAGAAATACTCACAGAGGATCATCAGAATTGAAACAGACGACATACAAGAAAGAAGTTTGGGAATCTTTTTCCATTCAGCAAATCTGAAGTGACATAATTTGGGCTGTTTGGGATGATCTTCATCAGTTATTGGTGATTTATCGACAACTGAAATGAGGATTCAGAATTGTTCACGAATATAGATCCAAAAAAGTTGGAAATTCTCTATTTCTGTTTTCAAACTTGATTTATTCAACATATATCTTCTAGCAATCTCACTAATTCACTTTTTGATATCTGCAGAAACGTTGCCAAGTGGGAAGACGCCATCAGTGAAAAATTTGGAATATTTTTATATCATGAGTCAGTATTTGTGGTCTGTCTCATTGTGAGTCTCTTCAAAGGATGGAAACTTGCTCTGGTTTGTTTTGTTTCTTTGCCGCTAACAACTTCATTGATGAGCTGCATTTCATGGGTTTGTATGCACTTGAGAGATATGATTTATTCTTTGGCATTTAGTATCAACTGAAGTGTGTTCGATAGAAAAAAAAATATAAAAGTTTTTTGAATTCAAGAAGCTTTTCATGTGAAATCGACAAGTGAACTTAACCAAAAATATAAGCATGAATAAAATGATATACAAGTCAATATACAAAACACAAACATACAAACATATAGAAGGTGTAACAAAAAGTTAGGTCATTAATTGAACAACATATTCTGTGATAAGAAATGACTCTATTGGATATAACTTACTGTAACAGCAAACCATTGAGAAATCAATAATCTGCTGTACATTTATTTGCGAACGGCAGCTTTTGGCCGGAGAGCACTATGAGTTCGTTGAAAGATTAAAAATATAGATGATATATAATGTAAACCTAAGTATAAAAACACTGAATAAAAAACCACAAACAATGGTTGAAACATACATACACATAAAACATGCTAAGTTAAAAATGATCGGTATAGAACTCAATCAAACTGGGTCTACTACTCAAAGGAGTCCTTGACCAGAGAGTTGCAAGGAATAGGTAATTTTAATTTTTTTTGTACGCTCTGACGAGTTGTATATTGATGGGTGGTAACCTCAAGTTTTACAAGATGTTTCTTAATCAAACACACTGTCCCCAGAATAAAAAGAGATACAACCGTCAAATTTTTTTTATCTATAAACATTTGCCTGCATGAGTCACGAGGTTTAGCTCTGCAAAAGTATCGTATAGCTCTCTTCTGTGATACAAATACAGACCTCTGCAAATTAAGGCTACACACACCCCAAAAAGGTATACCGTACCTTGAGTGAGACTGTACCAAAACGTGATATGCTGTTTTTGCAGTATAAACTCCCAGTTCTCTAGCAATAACTCCCACTGCATAACAGCCGGTGGAAATTTTACTTTTCATTTTTCTGATGTGAGCGTCAAATTTCAGTCCACCGTCTATATACAGCCCCAGAAATTTAGTACACTCTCTGTTCTTAATTATAGCGCTCGCTACAAATAGATAAATTCTGAAGTGAACATTAGAAAGTCATAATATTTGTTTTCGAAATATTGAGGGAGAGTACATTGGAAGACTTGATTGTTTGTATATCATGAGCTATTGTCTCATTGAGTAAATCTATATCTATACCTTTACTGTGCCACAATATAGTGGTGTCGTCAGCGAAAAGAGTGAATGTTCCAGATATACTTATGTTCATCAAATCGTTAATATACAACAGGAACAATATGGGACCGAGAACCGATCCCTGTTGTACACCAGTATTTATTTCAATACTGTTTGAACATTTAATCGTTTCCACAATCTGACTGCGACCATTGAGGTACAACTCAAACCACCGTAGAGTTATCCCTCTACATCCATAGATATTCAGCTTTCGTAGCAGTATTTTATGATCAACGCAGTCAAACGCTTTTGTAAGGCCACAAAATACTGCTGCAGCAGCATCTCCATCATTCATATTGGAATACACCTCAAACAGGAAAGAGAATATTGCATCATGTGTGCTCTTGTTGCTCTGGAATCCTAATTGATTTTTCCTTATAATATTATGGCGAAGGAGAAATTCATTGAGCCTTTTCTAGTTTTTCAATTATTTTTGCAATAGTAGGAATGAGAGATATTGGTCGATAATTTGAAGGATCATCTACAGAGTTACCTTTATATAAAGGAATCACTATCGACAATTTCAGAAAGGATGGAAACCTGCCATTTCTGAATGAAAGATTGATTAGTGATACAAGAGTTCTGAGCGCTTCTATCGGAAGATTTCCAATAATTTTGATTGAAATTTCATCATAACCAGGTGTTAATTTATTCCTTATATCACCAAAAACTTCAAACAGTTCATCAATATTCGTATCATCCAATTGAAGAGATTCATTGATTGAAAAATTTTCTAAATTAATCAGTGGATCATTTGGTAATTAACATTGGAGTGGGCGCCATCGAACTTTGTTGAATCAAAAGTAGCAATCATTCATAAAGCTGGGAAATTAAATGGAAATAATTGATAGGAACGTATTTTTGTGGAGTTTGGTTGTAACATAATAGCGTTATTAGTAAACAACTGCAATAAATACCAGTTTATTGAAGTTATATGAAACAAAAGGCTTCTGTGATATAGAAATCGAAGATATTTTTGGAGAAGACTGAGAACTGCAAGATAATATCACATCATAATTGAAAAATGCTTACCCATAATACTATGCATCAGTTCACAACATTATAGCATCATAATCATGATTTTTATAGAGATTTATATGTAACACGTCGCGAAATAGGTTCAGTTGAAATAAATTATTAAGTTCTGGCCTTATTGGTCCTCTTCACAAAACAGTGAATTTGATGTTGTACACTGTTTAGCTGGACACCATCCAAGGACGTTCCCCCTACAATTGAAGATCAGAAAGGTTCGTTCTTTTAGTCTCTAGCCGAGTTGGACGTGATAGCATATGCAACAGCGAAGTGATTAGATTCACTATTTTCAACATGAACTACTTATTCGCCTGATGTCCTACAACCCTAAAATTAAATTTTGGTTAAAGCAAACCTAACACAAAAAGGTATCCAGAGAATTATTCAATTTCTGGGGCTTCTCAAAGACTTACTTTTAAAGAAGGTAGGCAACGGTTTATCTATCAAAAACCGGAAGCCTCGTGGTTTGATTAAGCAAAAAACTGGAATTTCCAGGGCTAGTTAATCTCGGTTCTTCATATTATTTATTGCCGTTATTACACTCATTTGCTGCATTATTGCGGAATCATTCAAAATCCTCAAGCCAGAATATTATTCTTCTCAAGTTAGGAAGAGCAATTATCAACTTCAACAGAAAGAAGAAATCAAATCCAGAAACTATGTCCCTTTCACAACCGCCTTGGCGCATCTGACTTCACAGGAGAAAATATAGAACTGAAGCCTTTTCCTTGAAAAGAATCGTGCTTGATTCTACCAATTGAATCAAATACCATCATCTTGATGGTCAGTTTCGACAATAGCGTGAGGGTTTTCATCAGCCCATATGTGGTAATTAGGGAAATTGATAATCTTGTCCCAAAAAAAAACTACGTAAACGTAATGCATATCAGCCATTTCCTCATTTGTGTATGCAATTTTAATAACAAATGAATTATTGAAGAAACAAATTAAGAACAGAACAACAACACACAATTAGTATCAATTCAATTTCGAAAATTCACAAACTGACAGCGTCATACCAATTTAATTGTCACTATCGCTGAAAGCGACCTACTAGATATATTAGTTTCATTTTATCGTATTTATGACGATGTAGTTGTTCCTAAAATGATTTTTTGCTGCGAACTAGTTTATTTTGGGCAAAAAACTCAAGAGACATTTTTTATTTAGAATGAAACAGGCTATCGGAAATAAATTTTTAAATGGTAAACAAATAATAAGACAAAAAGTTACATTGGAAATAAATTTTAGGGGTTGCGTTTTCCACCCCTGACAACCATGGAGTAAACCAAATCAATTTATATTTTTTTGGTAGTTCAAAACGTCAGGTTCATTTCAATATTGTAACTTTTTCAGTGCTTGTGAAAAAAATTGTTATACAAATTTTATGTACCCCCTTTAAGGGGTTGTATCTTAACAAGGGATGCTCCAATGAAATTTATTTATATGAAAGATCCTATCTTACAGTTACACCCTGTATAGATTATGTTTTCCTTTGGGTACAAGAGAGAATCAAAGACTTTCTTAGCAAGTGAAAAATTGAATATACAAACTGGAAACTTCTCACTGATGAGGTTCATTGTTAATTCATATACTACAATGTAATCTGTATTGAATAAATGTTATATCTAAAGTACTCTATTTGGCTTTTCTTGATGTTCAAGAAATTCATTGAATTGCTGCATTCGTGTATAAATAATAGAATTTTAAAAATTACTAGTTGCGTTTTTCACTGGGTTTCAATTTCCAGATCTCGTCAAAATTATCACAACAGGAAATGCAATCATATGCTGAAGCAGGAGCTGTAGCTGAGGAAGCTTTCAGTTCCATAAGAACTGTATTTGCTTTCGATGGTCAGAAGAAAGAAATTGATCGATACAATAAACATTTGATGGATGCTAAAAAGAGTAACACGAAAAGAAACGTTTTCAATGCTTTCAGCAACGGCCTCATGTGGCTCTTCTTCTATTGTAGCTATTCGTTATGTTGGTGGTATGGCATCGGTTTAATTCTCGACGAGAGAAATCTACCAGAAGAGGATCGTGTGAACACCCCTGGAAATATTGTTACGGTGAGTGCTGATATTTTCAAGAGTGAAAATCTATGATGGAAAAATATCATGGAATTGTCCGATACTTGATGAAAATCCATTATAACGTAAGCAAAAAACACGTTATGTGTAGCAGTATTGTAAACTCTCAAGTGGAAATCTCACATTGAAGTGTGGTCTTTGAATACGTTGAAATAGAAAAAATAATTGTTTAAAAAAATGGTGGCCCTGGTGTTAATTTCAGTGGTAGATTGAGGAATTGAAGATGAGAGCGACTAAAAAGAAATCTACTATGATGATCCACTCCACGTATAGCATCTATTGAAGGATGACGATGTGAAGTGAAATAAAAAAAAAACAGATTTATTCAAGTTAATTCTGGTTAGTTGATTTTCTCTAAAAGCTGGAAAATCACTCATGCATGTGTTGTGAAGGAATCTGAAAATACAACGTTCAATCAACGGTTACAGGTTCATATCCTTTCGATAACAAACTATGGCGACTCTTCTCTGATAGTCTTATATACCTAGTCGCTTTTTATCATCACAGAAAGAACACAATATTCAAACCACTCACGTGGATTACTGACTTTTCGATCCACAGTTATTTTTCTCAGTATCTAAGTGCAAGGATAGACAATCTTGAGTGAGTAAATGCGATCTATATGGTAACACCTTGCCTCATTCAGAAATATACAAAATATGTAATGAGTAATTTTTGCTGGTATCTTTTTGGCAACACTGTTGTTCAGTTTGGTCTATAATTTAACCATGAATCGACCTACGAATAAACAACGCTTGCAAATTATTGAATTCCATCAAAATTCATGCTCGGTGAAAAAAATGCATCATGCACTTCTTCCAATTCATGGGCAGTTTCGTCGACCTACTGAGGGAGCTATTCGGAGGCTTATGACTAAATTTCGAACCCAGTTTACATTATTGGACATTGAACCATCAACACGCATACGTAGAGTGAGGACCGAAGCAAATATTGCGGCTGTATCCGCCAGTGTTCGTGATGACCGTGAAATGTCGATTCGCCGCCGTTCGCAGCAGTTGGACCTCTGTTACTCCACTACGTGGAAAATTTTGCAGAAGGATTTGGGTGTAAAACCTTATAAAATACAACTGGTGCAAGAATTGAAGCCACACGACCTCCCACAACGTCTAACGTACGGTGAATGGGCGCTGGCAAAGTTGGAGGAAGATCCATATTGGTTTCATGTTGTGTTTCACAGACCAATCCGGTCTGTGACATTTTTGACTGGGGTTGCTTTGATGTTCTCCTGCTCAAATTCTCTTTAACTATACCCATTATGTTTGAATGTATTTTTTGGGTGATATAGTTCTACAGGCACACCCTCAGGCTCACCGATACGTGGTGCTCTCTCAACCAACGTTTTAATCACCCCTCGCTTTTGATGTGGCTAGTGGTTCTAATTTTTGTTCAGGTGATATCCTTTATGTTGAATTTTCTCAAGGCTCACTGTTTCTAGAAATATGTATTGTTTTGTGTAGTACATTGAATGTTAGGTTTTGTTGTGTTTCGATTTGTATTTGTTCCTTGATGAGTGAATTATGTTTGTTGAATTTATAGATGTTTAAGTTTTTCCAGATGTCCATACGGTTTCCTTTATTGACTTGTTTCAAGAGTTTCATGTTTTCTGAGGATGGAACGTTCAGTTTGAGGTTTGAGTAGAGCCTTGAATATGATAGCACAACCAGCTATCGAAAGCGCTCGCATATAATGAATTGAAGTTATAAAGCTTCAAATATATATATATATATA